ATATATCTCCAGAAAAAAAACCCAAGTAGCTCAGGATTCCTCTTGGGACCAAGGGCAGGTCAAAGAACTTGACCTCTGAAAGCTCATCCTCAGGGTGCAGGAGAGGGATTCCACACTCTCCTCTGCCCCACTCCTGCCTTTCTTATTAGACTGTCAGAAACAAGGTCATTCTCCTTAAAGAGAGACCCTCAATTACATGACAGGTCTCAGCCTACTGTTTTCACTCTTGCTCAGGGATTACTTTCGAGGGAAAAAGATTTTTTATTCAGTATCAGGACAAACAGAGGTTCTACAGCCCAAGATTCCAAAATTACTGGCATTTCTGTGGTGGAGAACCTGGAGAATGAACCTTTAGGCACAACTGGGTGGGCCGGGGACTTTGACGTCAGGCACTGATGGCGCCTGTGCAGCTCCTCATATATTTATTCGTGCTCGCCTGTCAGGGCCGCTTCGCTTCTAATTGAATGAGTCATTTATAAACCTAATCCTTTCACTCTCCAGGCTGAATCTAATCCACCTGAGAGATTTAATTCCATCAGCAAGATTGACCTCTCCACTTACTACTCTGGGAAAAGAACCCGAGAATTTGACAGCAGTACAGATCAGAGTCTGCATCACATTTGAAGGGAAGGGGGAGACGGGGTGTTGCAGAAGGAGACTGTGTAGAAGTGGGAGCGGGGGGAGGGGGCTGAGGACGTGGGCAGGGCATTAAATCCCACAATTCAGGCCTGAGAACAGACCAAAGACCCTTGCCAAACCCACAATGAAGTCAGCTGGTGATATGACCCGTGTCAGAACTGGCCTTGTATCCCAGGAGAAGTGGTCCTCCTGCCTCCAAAGAAATAAAAAGCGACTCTTACCTCCTTCCTGTTACATTCAGTGGGCTCTCTCTATTCCTGCAGCACCAATTTATTTGTACTCAATTTTGCATTTATTTAAGTACTACCAATATTATTTTTTATTTTTCACCTGTGCTATATCTGATACTCCAGAATTAAATTAAAAATTCCTCGATGGCTGGAGATTTCTTTCACATCATTACCTCCTCATTTATTAAACACCTTGCTTACCTACTGTGAGCCTGGCACTAGCATAGGACTAAGTGTAGCAAAGGTGCCCAACAGGACCTTGAGACAGAACGATTACTTCTGGGGCCACTGATGATGGTCTGGACCGAGGCAAGCGACAGCTACAGGAAAGCAAGGTGAGTCACTGCACACGTGGTCTGTCCCTGACCTAATGAGGCTCAACTCAAGCTCATGCCAGATTCCAGCTATGAAAGGGCAACAGGTTGTCTGCTAAAATTGACTTCTTTTTTTTTTGTCT